CCAATGTATTCAAGATATAATTATGCCAATGTTTTCAAGATAAATAAGATTCTGGTATCTCACACAAGCATGCAAAATAAAATAATATTAATAAAAAAAAAATACAAGAAATCAAAGTATGTCCTAGCATGCAACCATTAAATTCTAACATTTTTTTTTAATAAAAATAATGCAAAGAAAAAAAAAATGTAATGAATGGAATGTCAACTCTAGATGAATGATAAGGAAGCCTAGCACACTAGAGTGACCTACTTTGACTAAGTTAGTCAAAAGAAAAATGAAGAGTATCTTTCCTAACCCAAACTTTTCTAACCTTTGACTCAGTGGGTTTCGAGACACTCTTGAGGGATGAACTTTGTCTAACAATCTTGAATTTCTTTTCTTTCTTGTTATTCCCAAGCTTCCTATTGGCAAATTGATTGTGATTAATTGAAGGACCCTGCCTAGCAATAGAGGACAACCTATTTGCCTCAAAACTAAGGTTCCTAGATTGGTTTGCTAGTGCCTCTAGATGACGAAGAAAACCGGTACTCCCCTTATTTGATTAACCTCTCGAAGGATTCCTAGAAGACCTATTTTGTTTCAACCTCTGACAATTAGGACAAATGTGACCCTTAATACCACAGTGGTGACACATAGGAACAAATTTGATAGTATTTTTCACTTGCTTCTTAGGTTCAGACTTAGGAGGTTCTAGAGAATGGCTATAGGAGGTACTAGACCCATCATCCGAGATTTTGAGAAACTTGGGCTCTGTTTGGAACCGTTTTCAAATTAGTTTTCAACGTGGTAGTTTAAGTATGATGTTTGGATGGAGTTGTGGAATTAATTTTCCACAACTCTGCAGAAAGCTCTGTGTATTCTGTTAAAATCGAGTGCGATTTTCAATTTTTTTTTAAAAAATTTGGCCTAACGGGACGTCCGGCCGGTTGACCGGAACAGTAATTTATTTATTTATTTTTTATTTATTTTTTTACAATTGATATGTTAATTTTTATATATTCGAAAAAAATATTGTCTGAATTTTTTAAAATTTTTTATGTGCTTTAAAATAATTTTTTGGTTATGAGTTGTAAATTTTTGTATCAAATATCAAATGTCACATCAACAATTCCCCACTCAATTCAAAACTATTTTCAAATCTCTTTACCAAACAAATTTTCTACACTCAAATCATAATTCCAAACCTCACAAACTCAAAATACAACTCATATTCTCAAATCATAATTACAAAGCTCTACCAAACGCAACCTTGGTTTCCTTTACATCTTTCCCATTAAATCCTAAACTAGTTTTTATCATATTGTCCTATCATCATAATTTTATCAAGTTTTTCTTTTCCACTAGATAGTCTTTTCAAAGAATCTTTGGTTGTTACTAATTCTGATTGAAGTTCTGCAACCCTAGACTCTGAACTACCTAGTTTTTCTCTCAAATCATTCATATCCTTATCTAAACCAACAATTTTATCTGCCATTACAGTTCCATGAGTTTTAAGATTAAGGATTTCAGTAATTTTATCAACAATATCAGCTTTAAGAATTTCTACTTTCTTTTCAAGAGTTCTAAAATTTAGAATTCAGATTCAACTTACTCTTTTTAATTCACAAAATTCATCATACAACTCTTTATAAGCATCTTGGATAGCCTCATCAGACTCTTCTGATTCAGACTCAGACAACGGAACATGATCAACTCTAGTGGTCAAACTACGTCAATGAGCAACTGTTGCTCTGATACCAATTGAAATTACAAAGTCCAAATATATTGAGCCTAGAGGGGAGTGAATAGGCTATCCTATTAAAAGTTTCAATTTTATGTTGAATTTAATCAATTAACACATGAATAATCAATCACATGAACACAAGATTTAACGTGGAAAACCCGAAAGGGTAAAAAGCTACGGTCCCAACACTCAATGAAATTCACTAGAAGATCCAAGAATATAAAGACAAAGTCGAGAGGACTTACAACCTTCACTTAGGTTTACCTAACACAATGACTTGTAATAACTCTATGAGCACAATCTGACCCAATCAGGCTTCTTGATCTTCAAGACACCACAAAGCTTTAGCTCCAATCTCCATTCACAAACGGCTCTGATTGCCCAACCAGCCTTGAGTGTAGAACGAACAATGCAAAGATATGCAAAGGTTTTGAGGGTTTTTGACAAATTATCTCAAAAAAAATTCTCTCATAAATATGGGAATTGAAGTTCAGAATTATTCTAGAGATCTCACAAGTTTTGCTGTGTGTAAAATATTTAGGATACTGTAAAACAAATTATGGAGGCATTTATATCGAAAAACAGTTTTTCAAAACCAATTCAGGATAGGTTTTTGTATTCCTTTTAGAACCAATTTAGGATAGGTTCTTATATACTTGTAAAACTCTTTTTGTGAAAAACTTTTTCCAATGCAACTGAAACATATGTGCAAACCTTACCTGATTGAGTAATGGAGCGAAGCTTGATTCCTTGTGTGATAGGATAGATGAGTACGAGACTTTTACGAAAATACCCTCACACTTAACACGCCAAAACAATTAAATTTGTCACCAAAAATAGCCAACCAAAATATTCTATTACACAAGTATTGTGCATTGTTGTGGCTTCTTGTTGCTTACTTTACTTAGCTAGTTGATTGTTATATTGTGGCACATCTCCAACCTTGTTGCTCACCGACTAACTTCTTGTGTTTGCTTGCCGTTGTAAACACCCTTGTGCGAGCTTGGCGGGATAGTTAAAGAGAGTAAACTAGCGCCACACACGTCTGCAGCCCTTTGGCAAGGCTTCCGCTTGGTTGGCGTGTAACACTAGGCTAGGGTGATAATTAGAAAAGAGTTTCTAATTTCACCAATATGAGTTATATCAGTTAGATTGAGCACATATGATGGAGTTGGGGGTTCGACAATTTTTTATATCCTATTGGCTTGTTCAGGACATTATATGAAGGAATTATGAGAGTTAATAGGACCTTACCTTCATTAAAGGTTTAATTGTGATAAAGTTTATTTCTTGTAGGACAAGACAGACTAATTTTATGGAACAATTTTATCTAGTTGTATAAATAAGAGTCTTCATAAGAGCTACCACTCCTACACTCGTAAACTTGTGAAGTTTGAGAGTACCTTTGTATTCAAGTTTTGCTTTGTGTGGATACTTTTAGAGGTTGGACAATTGAATGGTTTTGGATTCGAGTGGACTTCAAAGATCAAGCGTGGAATTGGATTTTGTGCTTGAGGTATTTATCCTAACTATCTCTATGGATGGTTGAGTTTGAGGGTTGTATACATCACAAACATGATCATGGGTTTTAAGAATTGAAAGAATTTTTTTAAAATTTCACCATGCATATGCTTCCTTTCACTCTTGACGTGGCTTGCTTTGAGCTCGTCAAAGGCTTTGTGGCACTCGTCCATCCAAGCCGAACCCTTATTCTTTTTAAGCAACTATGTCAAGTGGGTGGAATCCTTGAGTGGCCCTCCATGAACCATTGATAGCAGTTGGCCAACCCCAAGAGCAATCTCAATTTTAAAACACTAATTGGTGGCTGCCATTCTTGATTGCTTCAATTTTGTCCTATTCCATCTGATTTGAATACTCTCATGCTCAACTATATGCCCTAAGATAGTTGTACAGAAAAGAAGGTGACTTCTTTTCTTTGGTGACCAAAAAGAGTTTGGAATAGGCATTTTAAATTTCACAACAGCATTTGATCTCATATTAACCAATGCTTTCTTTAGAAGAGCGAGAGACACTTGTAACTGGTCCAATAAGAGTCAAATAGATTTTTTAGTAAGAAAAAAGGACCGCCAAACTTGTCAAGGTTGTTCCCAGAGAGACTTTGATTACAAAATAGACTAACAATACTAGATACATACATTGCAGGGTGATATCGAACTAGAAAGACCCTGTTTGGTGCAACTTATGGGGCTGCTTATTGCCTTTTTTTATTTTCTTTTATTTTGGAGGGCAACTTATGTGCACAGCTTATGAGGCATAAATAGCATAAAAAGCTTAAATAAGCTGATTATTGAGAAGAAGGGGAAGGGGTGCTTTTAGCTTGTGATTATGATTATCAACTTTTAACTTGCAAGAAACTGCACCAAACAGGCTCTAAAACCCACGAACTGTTGGTGGAATCTAAAAGGTGAGAAATTAGAAATGTTTGGATAAAATATTTAAAAAATGTGGAATTTAAAATGTGATACTAATAACATATGGAATACAATAATGGAATGCATTACGAAATATTGAAAGAGTTGTCAGGGACAAAGAGTTATGATCCTGTGAGGATGAGCTAACTCATTAGAGGAATCCCTTCTTGTTGTTGGCTGCTTGTCTCCTAAATAGCTGCAATATGATTAAACCAGTTAACAAAAATTGGATTAGTTGGATTGACCCAAAACAGGTTTAATTTTGGTCGGTTGGTTGGAATTTGGGCCATATAAGCTTGTTTCAATCTGGTATGGAACATTCTGTGTGGAGCAGGCTGGAAGCAGGATATTTCATTTGGTTTTAATATGGTGTGCAATATGCTTGGATCTAATGACTCATTAGATCCAAGCATATTAATGAGAATACTGATAATTATTTGTCTCGCATTTATTTGTTAGAGTTGAAGCTCTAGCTAAGTACATGACAAGAACCTTAGCTTTGGTTTCTAGCCTAATTTTTTTTGATCCTCCCTGTTAATGCCCTTTTTCATAATGAACTAATGGCATTACTTGCAGCCAAGTTGGCAGCTTTTATGAGTCCTACCAGTACTCATTGCATGTTTTTCTTTTAATGTTTGCCCAAAGGATGGATTGGTCAGTACGTGGCAAACAAACTCTAATTGCAATCCTGTGGTAATTTTAAGTGATGAGTAGACATGTCTCATGATGCCAATTTTATATTCATAAGCTTTGTAGTTTTCTGCTTCATTTATTGCTTGAAATTTTGCAGTTTTTTCAGTCAATTTTATTTGCACAATGTGCACATCTATTTCTTCTTTCAGGTTATATCAAATCTCTCTGCAGTAACTGGCCCTTTGTTTTATATGGAGTCATGGGGACGTTTCCCAAAGGAGAGGATTCGTCTTTTTAAGTTGATTGCTGATAGTAAGGTGAATTATCTTCTGCTTATTCTGTAACTTAAATGGACTACTTCAAGTTTAATTTATTTGAACTGAACTGCTTTCACTCATGATCTACTTGCCATATGTTTTTCACACTAGCACTGGGACTCTAGGGAAGATTAAGAAGAAGTACGCCCAGTTTAGTCCCATTTGATAGGGTCTGGGAGGAGTACATTGGTTACAGACCTACCCTTTGGCATAATCTGCACAAAGTGGCTGCCCAATTTATATTTTCTTCTTTTCTTTTCTTCATTCTGCTCCAAAATAGGATATAAGCTACCTGCTATGCTATACATTTGAATTGCTTTAGTCCAATAACTCGTGTGCATTTTTCTTTTTTGCATAGAGGGATGGAGTCTTCTTCATAAGCGGAGATGTTCATTTTGGAGAAATTACACGATATGACTGTGCTAGTGGATATCCCTTGTATGACATAACCTCAAGTGGGCTTACCCAAGCTGTTGAGAAAGCAGTCCTGCCACCGTTACATTTCCTAGTGAGGTTCCTGGCGTGGTTGACACCAAGTACCTTGAGAGTAATGGACAAAAGCTGTAGATCCAGGTCATGCACATATGGTATGCTTTTCCCCTCAATTTTTTCAACTTGGACCTTCAAATTTTGACCTTCTAAAATGTAAACATCTTTTAGGGCAACCAAATTTTGGAGCGATAGAGATAAATTGGGATGCTACTCCAGTGAGTTTGAAAATTGAAGTTGGGGATGCAAATGGATTCCCAGTTATGAGCGTGAATACCACATTACTAGAACTCCAAGCGAGAAACTCTAAAATCACCGTGGAAGCAGGAGAATATCAGAAATGTTGCTCTCTTGAAGTTAATCTACCTTGGATTGTCAGATATCGCTTGGTTATTTTCTTCTTTTGTGCTTTAGCTGGTATGCAATCTTGAATTTGCAGCATTTTTCAATATCTATAATTGCGTTCTGTTTGATATGATGGCTTGCTGAGATTTATTTGCTCTATATGAAATTTTGATTGTCCTACAAACCGAGAAAAACTGAGTTTGGACTAATAGACTAATAGCCCAAAACAAAGTCTAAGTGTTCCATGATCATCAAGAAGCCTTTTTGGTCCAAAGAGAAGTGTCCATGGTAGTGTTTAGTAGTTAAGGGTGTTATGCTAATTTCAATAATTGTTGGACATGGGCTGTAGGGGTCGCCCATGGTCTTATTTCGGATCAATTTATTAAATGGGTCATTATATATAGGTTTTGTTAAATGTAGAATAATCGTAGTGGTCAAAAAGGTCCAAGTTTCTTATTTTGAAGTTGGAGTAGAATTAGAAGTTATCAAAGTTTTCTATTATAAATTATAGTTGAAATGGAATTGGATGTCATAGTCATAGGAATATTTGTAGTAACCAAATATTCCTAGTTTCCAAATTTGAGTCAATAGTCTTTATAGAAGTAGGAAAGTCTTTAGCCTATAAAAATATGTGTAATCTAGTAACCAAATATTCTTCTTCTTCTTCTTCTTCTTCTTCTTCTTTCTCTCTCTCTCTCTCTCAATTTTACCCCTTGATGTAGTCACCTCGCCACCTATTGATCGGGGAGGAGGATGAGTAAGCAGAGGTGGAAGGTGAATGGGGTATTGAAAGTGTTGGTGGTAGTGTGTTCAACATCAATAGGGTGGCTCAGGTAGGTGATTGATGCTATTATGTCTATGGAATAGGGCTATTCACGGGTCGGATTGGCTCGGTTTTTTGGGCCACCGCCAACCGAACCGATAACATCGGTTTGAAGAACAAAGCAACCAAACTCGTCTGGTCTGACCATTGCTTCAAAACTGGCATCTTCGGGTTGTAGAAAAACCAGTCGGGCTTTGGTCAGTGGTGCAACTCCAGTGTCTTCCTCAATTCAACAGCATCGTAGGAAAAGGAGGAGGGGAGTGAGAGTTCTTGGGAAGAAGATCAAAGAGGGTAGAGGGAAGGAAATGAGGTTTCAAGTCAGGATGATAAAAAATGGAGGGAGGAGACGGTTTAGGGAGGGGGCGATCAGAGGAGATAAAGGGTTGAGGGGGAGATAGAGGAGAAAGTGAGATACAGAAAGGGTACAACCATTTCCGCTGCTGCGATATCTCTACCGTGAGCTTAACCCACCACCACCATCTCATACAAAATATCTATATATTTTTTTTCTGTATAGAATATACACATAAAGGAGAGATGAGAGAGAGAGTTTCTCTCTTGACTGAAGTAGTGAGAGAGAGAGTTAATGATAAGAGTGAGAGGAGAGGAAAAGTCTGAAGGAAATAATTAGAGAGAGAGAGAGAGAGAGTAACGTAAATAATGAGAGAGATGAAAAAGAGGAGTTATTGATAAGCGTAAAAAGAGAGGAAAATCTAACAGAAATAAGAGAAGAGAGAGAGATAGGAGACGAAAGGACTCTTGAATGATGGAATGGAGGAATGCTGCTTTATGTTGAAACTTTCTAATCGAGAGAGATGCATTAAATGTGAGAAGAGACATGACCTTGGAAACGTTCAAAGCTATTCAATTTTGTTAATTAAAACATCTTCTCGAATCGGTAGGGTTTTAATCGGATTAAAGGTTTTAAATCCGATGCCCGAACTGAGACTTGATTTCCTGATTGATTAACACCAGTATCCGACCAAAGCAGGCATCGAAATTGACCGCAGCGTGATGGGTCGGTCTGGGTTGGTCACTTTTATGAACAGCCCTACTATGGAAATGTAGGCAAATTTGGTCTCTGTAGTAGTATATATCTATGTATGATATATATATATATCAATTGCTGGTTGCTATTGGTCTCATTCTTCAGTATACTATATACAACAACTATATAGTGTATGCAACTATATAGAGGGGAAGAAAGTATAAATATAATTGTAAACCAAATGTGGTTTATTTTGCTTATGTGTCGTCAATTCTTAGTATTTTTTTTATTACTTTTAATTCACAATTTTTAAGTGACATGTGTCACGGGTAAAATGGATATTTAAACAATTATTACATGATGTCATCCAAACCATTATTCTTACAAACGACCAATGAATGGGTGGGGGAAGTTGTATATGATTCCTAAAATAGAAAAGAGATCTCTACCATTTCCAAAACCACATGGGGTGCATTGTATTAATGAAAATCTTAAGGGAGGTTAGTGTAATCTACTTTTTTTTTTCCCTTCCCCTTCATGTCTATGGATTATTTGCATACTCATCTTTTGGGTACGGATTTCTATATTGTTGCCCCCTAAGTAGCACATACATAGAGACCCACGACATAACATTGACATTTTGACACGTCAGTTATAAAAAAATACAGGACATGACACGCTTGAAGGCTTCAGGGGTTCTTGGAACTTTACCTAGAGTCTTGGAGAGAAATGTAGAGACTGTAAATAATTCTACACATGTAGATAATTGTCTTGTGCATTCTAGAATGGTCAATTTGAGGATTTAATAGAAGTATTTGATTACTTTCTATCCTTAAGGTTCTAGATTATTCATTTTAAGCTTGTAAAGAGCGGGGAGAGAGAGAGAGAGAGAGAGAAAACGAGAGGGGGGGGGGGGGGGGGGCGGTTCATTTGCCCAAGCCATCCAACTTCCAAGGAATACAAGCTCTCTTGGAATCTTCTTCAAAATTCTCTCTAGTGAAAGTTCTTCCTCAAACTCTCTTGGTGTGTTAGTTTCTCTTAAGCTCCCTTCCAAAGTTAGGATAACTTAAGTGCATGCAAGTAGGTGACAAGCATCTAAGGCCGCACTGTAAGCTCGAATATCTAAGGCTGTGATAGTCGGTACCCATTTAAATAAGTACCACCTCCTCGACCACACCTTCACTACCACCATCTCCACCTCCACTTCCATTGCCACTACCGCCACTACCACCACCACCACCTTTACCTGTATTTTCACCACCACCACTTCCATAACTCCACCAGTATCACTCCACCACCGCCGCCACCACCGCCATTACCACCATCTATTGGGAAAAAAAAATCAATGAAGCAAACGAGATGGTTAGGTTCATTTGTCCAACTCAGCTAATTCAACACTCAACCTGCTTAAACCGTTTATTACATAGATGCGTAGGCTTGTGCAAAATACCGCCCAATTCACACCGAGCCGCCCGCTAACTGCATGTTAGTTTTAACCGCGGTTTGAAATTTATAATTCGCCTTCGAAACCGCTCCGCTCTGCTATATTTAATACATATTTTTTTTTTTACCTCTAATGAAATATCAAAGTAAAAATAAATGTGAGAGAGATTAAGATGTGAAATTTGTTGTAAATTCAAGTTACACATGAAAAATATTATGTAAAATTAGTTAGTGTTATATATATAAAAAATATTATACAAATTAGTGTTATACATTATGCAAATGCTTGATAATTGTTTAAAATTATTCTTTAATCAACTAGCAAATTGAAACAACGCAAACCGTCCAAATCGCAATTTGGTTATTTGCCAATCCGCTATTCACGGGTTGGTTTATAATTTTACCCACAAACCACACCGAACTGCACTGTGCACACCCCTATGGATGGGTTTAGATGGAGTGGTTTTAAATGCATAACCTGTTTTGACTCGTCAAAAACCCACCCAAACCCATCTATTTGCCACCTCTAGACTAATAGCATAGTTATGCCATTTATGGAAAATCATGTAGTGTGTATAAATTTCTTTTCGAGTGTCTTTAAATGCACCCCACTCTAAAATTTGAATTTTGTTTTTTTCTCTTTGAACACTCAAATTAATCCCAACCCTACAACCAACCACCTTCGTTGTTGGGCTTCCCTTCCCTTCCCTCCTTCCTACTGTCCACCATCCCTCCCTTTCTTTCCTCGTCAACCGCCCCCCCTCACCTTCCCCACTACACCCTCCCCTTCCCGTCCCTTCCCAACGTCCCCTACTCCCTTTCCTTCCTTCCCTTATGCCCCCCACCTCTCACCTTTCTCCTTTTCAAACCCTAACTCTAACCCACCACCCTATTGAGAGAGAGAGAGAGAGAGTCACAGATGGGTCAAGGGAAGAAGAATGGGGCGGCAGGGGGTTGTAGTAGTAGAAGAAGAAGAAGAAGAAGAAGAAGAAGAAGAAGGTGGCGGCAATTGGAAGGGGGTGCTGGCGGAGTTGAGAGCGTGGGAAGCGTTGGTCGGAGCTAGGGAGGGCTGGCTGTAGCTAGGGTTTGTGTTTGTTCCTTTTGGTAATTTGATTTAGAGGTAAATGGTATTATTTATTTATTTATTTATTTATTGAAAAATAGGGTGTCCAACAATTTTTTTTTTGCATTTACAGACTCCTTTATTTTCTATTCTTGGGAGATGATGCTTAGTTTGCTTTGATTTAGTATTTGCTCATTTTTTGTTTTCTATATTAATGCACACTATCTTCTTGTTTGGACATTTTATAAGTTGACATCTATTGTGTAAATTTTGTGCGGTCTTGTCTTGTTGAAGTCAAGTACTTTTAGATTGCTTAATTCAATGGTAAATAAATAAAAATAATAAAATGATATGCCGAATAGTGGGGAAAAAGGATAAGAAAGACAATTTTATGGTATTGTATGAAGGAAGATCTTGGCATTCCTTATTTTTGAAGGACAAGATATTCATCAAATAAAATAAGGGATCATGCACTTGAGAAGAGAAAAAGGTACCCATATTATGCTCGAATTATGTATGACATGGTCACAGGATATTCCAACCTGGGAAAGGGTAAAAACTTATGAAGTTAAGGTTTTGTGTTTAATAGAAACATGATGCATGTGGCAGCGAATGTGGTATCTCAGAGTTGAGATTGATTACACAAAAAGAATCTGGACACCCCAGTGCCAAAAGAAAAAAAAAAAGAAAAAAGAGATTATACAAAAAGAATGAAAACCTGAATTTATATTTGTAACAATGCCAAAGCACAGGGTTACCAACTCAAAATTCCTATGTTTTGTTATATTTGTTTAGCAATTTCTTAAGTTAAGCAATTAACATCTTCTGAGAAAAGTAAACTTGCTTCAAGTCATCATCTTCTTCTTTCCTTTTTTCCCATTTGACTTGTGAAGAATGGCTCTGCTCTTATCTTGTGTGCATAAGATCATTTCAAAATAATGAGGCTAAGTGGACACTGTATAGCCTTCTTGCTTTATGACTGATAAAAGAAATAGCCTTCTTGCATTGTGGATTCATTGTCTCTGGCATGTTTCTTATCAGCTTAACGAGATGTTTTTAACTGGATGAAGAGGAAAATTAACAATCAGCAAGACCCTGCATCATATTTTTGTGTATTTGCTACTTCCTTTTCATGTTTATGTTCCTTATTATGCTGTTTCCCATCCAATGTGGCAGTGTTGCTGCTTGCGCTGATATTTTTCATCTATATGGTTACATCAGTCTGCATGCAATGTCTCCACAAATGCAAGCTTGATTGACCAAGTGAGTTATCTTGATTTTACAACCAAGTGTACATAATTTAATCATTGTGGAATCAATTAACAACTAAATCAGAGATGTTACTGGTTACTAAGGTCTTGTAAATTTTGTTTTATTGGATATATATATATATATATATATTTAAATTGCATTAGCAGTATCAGAGTTTTAGATTATGTATGTCACCTTGTTCATACAAGCTATAAGAATAAATGTTCGTTTTCTTTACTTTTTCTTTCTAGAAGACGACTAGACGAGCTAGATTGCAATCCAGGATCTTAATAACATATTATGAGCAACTGCAACAAATTTTGAGTTTTGTACAGGCAATACATATGTACTTCCAATGGATTCTGAACACGTTGGGGATTGACTAGAATTGATTTAAATAATGACCAGGTTTAGTAAGATATTACAAATGTTCTCATGCCCGTTTGATGCTCATGTATCTGGTCTCTGTATTGACACTTGACAAAATGGTTATCCAAATAAAATGTAAGGAGCAAACCAAATCAAAGCCAAGCATTGTGTTCCATTCAATTGGATTTAGCTACATGAATTATTTTTTGCCATTCTTCTATTTCAATGGTAATATGCTCAGTTAAATTTAGTAAGTTCATGTCTTTTTATACAATCTTGCATGTCAATTTAAGTCTTTCCTCTTTTATCATTTCCTTTATAGTGATCATATCACTTTTCCTTATCATGGCATCTATTGGTACCCGACCATTTTAATATATTATCATTATACGTTATAGTGATCATATCACTTTTCCTTATCGTGGCATCTATTGGTGTTCGACCATTTTAATCTGTTCTTTGTATTGACACTCGACTTGATAGCATGGTTATCCAAATAAAATGTAAGGAGCAAACCAAATCAAAGCCAAGCATTGTGTTCCATTCAATTAGATTTAGCTACATGAATTATTTTTTTGCCATTCTTCTATTTCAATGGCAATATGAATCTTTTTTTGCCATTCTTCTATTTCAATGGTAATATGCTCAGTTAAATTTAGTAAGATCATGTCTTTTTCTACAGTCTTGCATGTCAATTTAAGTCTTTCCTCTCTTATCATTTCCTTTATAGTGATCATATCACTTTTTCTTATCGTGGCATCTATTGGTATTCGACCATTTTAATTTATTCTCATTATACTTAATCTTCAATTGGTATTACTCCGATCATTTCACGAATTTTAATTCTATCTTTCATGGACTTACCTTATATGTCTTATCATCCTTATCTTAAGCACTAATTTCTTGTTTCTTATTTGTCCCGTAAAGCATTGTTGTTTTTATAATCATTTTATAATTTTTTTTTCTTCAATTTTGTTAGTATATGTCGATTGTATGATATGCCACAAACACTCATCTACTTTAGCCAATGTACTTTAATTTATTAAGTCCCATCATCTTCAATATCTTTAGTGATAATCAAATCTGGTTAATGAAATTGTTCACTTTTGTATCTCTTGGTTTTTAATCTTTGTTTTCTACAATTTATATTGGGCAAATTACACAAATAGTCCCTATAGTTTGGGGCTTGTCACTTTGGTCCCTGACTTTTTAATTGTAACACATTTGACCTTGAATTTTGAATCTTATTTCAAATAAGAACAATTAAAGATATCATTAGATTTTTCAAGGATAAAATTGTCAATTTGATAAAATATAAACTAATTTGACAAAAATAAATGTCAAACAAATATTTTTGAATTTTTAAAAATTTTTTTTACCTACTAAAAATAAAATTATGTAAAATTGATAAATCTTTAGATATTTATTTATTTTTTTTATCAAATTAATTTTTATTATGTGTTTGGATGATGATCATGTAAAATTAATTTTAAAAAATTAATTATGTAATTTTTATTAATTTTACATAATTTTATCATTGGTGGATAAAAATAATTTTTAAAAAATAAAAAATATTTTTTTGGCATTTATTTTTGTCAAATTAGTTTATATTTTATCAAATTAACAATTTTATCCTTGAAAAATCTAATGATATTTTCAATTGTCCTTATTTGGAACACGATTCAAAATTCAGAATCAAACGTGTCACAATTGAAAAGTTACGGACCAAAGTGACACAAGTCCCAACCTATAGGGACTATTAGTGTAATTAACCCATTTATATTAGAGTTAATTACTTAAAAGTCTTATTTACAAATGTTATAGTAGTTTAGGCCTTATCTAAGATTTTTTGAACCAATAAATCTTATTTAGTAAAACTGAGAATATTATCAACATTATCAATTTTGCATAATGTTTCAGATAATTATTTCACTAATTGATAGAAGAAAAAAAAAACATGAGAGACTAAATGATTTTGCTCTTTTACTTATTGGTTTGATTCAACTATCTAATAAAACTGAGAACATTATCAATTTTTTAATTTTAATTTTTTTTTTGGTTTTACATATTAATGTTCCATCACCATACTCCTTTATAGACACAAAATTTTCAATTTTACAAAAAAAAAAATTTAGTTTTTTCAACAAAAAAAAAAGTTAGTTTTTTTATTTTTATTTTTCACACACACAAACGCATATATATATATATATATATATATTAGTTTTTTCAATTTGAAAGTTGATGTTTTTAAATTTTAAAAATCAAAATAAATGTCAAATCATCATGTTGTTTTATAAATAATCATAAATAATGAACAATCATTATTTGAAGAGTAATTTCGACTATTTAAAATTTAATGGGACTTGAAAGTTTAAAACATCTTAATTAAGACTTAATAAAATATAAGTTCATAAATTAGAACTTGTGTATAAATACCTTTTTATATTATTAGTGCTACTATTAAATTTAGTTATGTTCAATATATTCTGTTTTAGTCCTAATTGTTTTAAACATTTTTTACTCAAGTGTTTCTCTTTGAATTACACTTTAAATTGCATCCACTATGATAAAATTATCTACAAATAATATACATGATGGGACATCATCTTGTATATATCTATCTTTAGTCAATTCATCAATGACAAAGGTAAATAGGCAAGGATTCACGGTTTTTGAAAACGTGCCCAATGCTAGTAAAAATCGTAGCAACGAGAAAGGCGATGCGGGAGGGAGAGGAAGGGGTTGGCGTGATTGCAAGATTTCGTTGAAAATATGTGTATGCTGAGAAAGAAGATGGGGAGCATTTTAAAGATGTTGAAAGGAGTGAGAAGAAGAGGAAGAAAAAGGAAGTGACAGGTGGCACGATGGCGGGGAGGATGAGAGTGTCGGGTAGCAACGGTGGCGGCGACAGAAACGGTGGCGGTGACAGAGGTGACTGGGAATGGTGAGAGTATAGGGTTGGAATTATTTGGAGTGTTAAAAGAAAAAAAAAGAAGAAGAATTTGGTAATGGGGTGCCTTGAGCAATGGAGTGTTCAACCTAATTTTTAGGATGCATTTATCCCTACCAATGTAATTTGTCCTCTTTTTTTTATTATTTTTATTATAAGTATTTTTTCGAGATCAATCCATCCGAAATTGTCAAAGGCAGTTTCGAGAACTTTTACAAAAAATAAAATAAAATAATTTTTTACTGTTTTGATTTGATTTGATTAAAAATTTAATCTATTCATTTTTTTAAAATTTTATATTCAATATTGATCATGTTTGAAGGAATCTTGAAAAAATGAATCCATAAATATTAATTTTGTTAAAAACGGATTTATAAAACTAAAGTTATGAGATTTAAAAAATTTTTAACACAAAAATAAATACAATGGTAAATTTATCCAGTAATGCTATGTAGCTCGAATTTTGGTGGCTCGAGTGACCCGATTTTTCACTTTTCATCCTCTCTCTCCTTTTCTCTCCTTCCTCTGTTTCTTCTCTTCTTCTCCTTCTACAAATCTTCGCTGTCTTTCTCCACCAATGCCCTCTTCCCGTTGTCCAAATCTTATGCAGATATGCCTACATATATATATATATATATATATTGTATACAAGTGGTGGTGGTGTGGGTTGCGTAGAGTTGGAAATGGCAACCCCACAGTGCTTTGAGAACCCACCAAGCCTGAGCTCAACATGTGGATCAAGGAATCTCCAAGAGATTGGAGGGCTTAAGACCCATGTCACTGGTCCCTAAGACTCCAAGCTTGCAATCCTTCTCATTTTTGATGTTTTTGGTAACTGCCATCTCCATTTCTTCATCAATCTTTGTTACTTTTGTGTTCAATTTCTCAACCCAATTCTGGGAAAGCTAACAAATCAAACCCAAAAATCTTGGAAAAGAAATCAAACCCAAATCAGTCAAACCCAAAAATCAAAAATCAAAACCAATCAGCCACAAACCAAATCAGACAAAATCAAACAAAATCAATTAAACCCAAAACAGAGGGGGAAGAGAAGGAGCTCGTCGTGGACTCCGACGGTGATCCGGATTGTGGGTGTCGGAGAAGGAGGTAGCTTTTGGAGTGAAGAAGAGAGAGAGAGAGAGAGCCAAATCAAACCCAAATCAAAAATCTATTTTCTCCTTCTCTTCTCCTATCTTCTGTCTCCTTCTTTCGTCTGTTCAGAGACAAAACATAAGGGGGAAAAAAAAAAACCCCCTAAAATGACGTTGTTTTAGTTGTCGAGCCATTCGGGCCAACAATGTTTCGAGCTACGAAACATTATTCAAATTCACCTAACAAAAATGATCGTCTTTATATGACCTTAGCAGTTTTGCGCATAATGTAATTGAATAATTTAAAAAATTAAATTTATGGCTAGTCTCTTAACTTTTATCACAAAAAATATAATTTGATTATTTATAATTGTAGGAATGCACATCCTAACTTGGTCATTTATTGATTTATTACTTTTAAAAAATCGTAATTTTCTTCACAAAAATTATGGTCTTGTTTGGTTTGATTTTAAAAAAAAAAAATTGAATTTTTTTTGGAAAAATAAAATTAGTTTAACTATAATAAATATTAAAAAATTATTTTGAAATTTTTTAAAATTATTTGAATCAACTTAAGAACTGAACCTATATATATATATATATATAAATTTTATTTATATTGACATATCTTCACCTAATTGGTATATTATAATAGACTTGATTGTATTTAATAATTTTCCATATACAAGAATTATTAGGTGACTGAACAAAGTACTAGAAACTTGAGTTGGATTTTATAATAATTTGTATTGATTATTGTGGAAGGTGAAATTATTTCCATAGGGAAAGCGAGATAATGCGCTCAATCTTTTGTACTCTATAAAGAGAAACCAAACGTCAGTGATCACTCTTGACTAGGGTAGGTCGGGAGGACCCTTCGACAATCAAATTAGTACATTGATCGGCCATAACACAAATATTTAAAAGGGAAATAGTTATGAAGTAGAAACTAATCTAGATTGAAGTAGAATTGGATTTGTTACCACTCATGCCTTTATGCTTTGCCTGCTAATGTGTAGACAATGAGGGGCCATGGCCCTCCCTATTGAACTGATGAATTGTGCTTGTATAATACTTGTTTCAAGACATAATACACTCTTTACTCCAAATGACCACCATATAATGAGATGGCCTCCTTGCATTACAATTTACAACGAATTTCGGAACATCATGTGGCATTATTTATGTAATATTTTAAATCAATTATGCAGTA